TTCCTTTCAGTTTTCCTTGCATCATAAAAAATAAGAACGTTTTGCTCAGACTTTGCTAATGTAGCCCTCAGGGTTGTGGTTGTGTATGATTAAGGTGAGTGTCTGGTAAGGACCAAATCGAAACCAGGTCTATATAATTCCAGGGGTGACTTATGTTGATCATCACGGGTCGTCAGCTCCTTTGGAAGCGTGGATTCATCAAACTGAACTTCAAATAATGACCAGAGTGTTGCATTATACAATGATCTGGTGATTTTGTTTGTTTGCTTTTGGTTTTTTTTCTTTTTTCTTTTTGTTTAAGACAGGGTTTCTCTGTGGCTTTGGAGGCTGTCCTGAACTAGCTCTTATAGATCAGGTCTGTAACTCACACAGATCAGCCTGCCCCTGCCTCCCGAGTGCTGGGACTAAAGGCGTGTGTCACCCCTACCTGGCTGATGTGGTCTTTGAGAAGAGGGTCACGAGGTGATACATTCACATTTCAAGCTTGTCTAAAGCTGTGGGTCATACTCCCAGATAGTCTGTGCTTGACTGTTGTTGTGGGCAGGCAGCCCTGGCGGCAGGCAGAGATGGTCTGTCCGGTGTTTCTGCCTTCCCTGGGGGGAGTGTATCTTCTCTTTGGTTAGGATACTTGGACCGGTGATCTTTCCTTCAAGTTTTTAAATGTGTTTCTGCACCTGAGAAACAGAAGAGACTTGAAGTGAGTTAACTCAGGAGTCTGAGTGTGACAGGGACATGCTTAGGAAAGTGCTGTCTTCTTTGAGTTGCTATACCTGTCTCTGTGTTTTTATTCTCCTCGGCACACATTACGTGGTTTGTGGGAATAGGCTGCCTGACTGAGGTGGCCTAGCGTAGCTACTAAACCATTTTCTAGGTTCTCTTCATTTCTTTCATCAGACGTTTGTCCTGATGGCAGCAAAAATAACGCATCAAGCTCTTGTTAGTGGGATAAACGGCATGCAACTTTCCTTGTATCTCATCTTCTCAGATTGAGGAACTTCAAGAAGTTCAGGTTTTACACATTGCATGAAAACTTTCATTTCCTCCTTGCATTTATACCTTCCAATGCACAGTTTTTAGAAGGTGGGTGAGTTCATCTTTGATTGATTACTCCCTTAAAGTGAACACTTAGATGGAGGTACAAATTTTTACAGTGCTAAAGTAAGGGGCCAACAGAGCCTTGCTCCCTTGGCTGCTTTCTGGTGGTGTTGAAATCTTAAGTTTTAAAGCCATTAGCTTCTCTTACTTTCCTGAGAAAATAAATGCAGTGTTACCCAGTATGGTGGTGGTTGTAGTTTGGACAGCCGAATAGTTCCAGGCAGTTGAATGGCAGCGTATAGACGGTCTGTGAGTCATAGGAATAGAAACACCTTTGTAGTTTGCCTGATGCTTTAAAATTTTTCTGCAGTTAAATTTATGTGCAGTTCTATCCTTTGAAATTTTACTATGAATAGATTCTTTTAAAACATTAACCTTCCTGCAGTTTAACCATGGGATGGGTTGATTCTTGTTAGTTTTGTGAATGATTTATGTAATTCCCTCTTTGCTTATGCAAGGGGCAAGGCCTTAGAAATGCCTCTCTCTTTTTCTGAATGGTGCCTTGTTGGTTTACTTAGGCCATTGGTAGACTGACAAAGATTGCATATTTGTTAGAATAGGTACATTGTAGGCCGAAATGACATTGGTGTAAAGTGTCAATTTGGAAGACATTCTGTGAAAATTTTTTTTCAGTGAAAGGGCTGAAAACATTTTTAGTATTTACTTTATAAACCTTCTAATTATGGTTTATTCAGCAAATCTATGTTCAGATTTCTCTAGTAATTTCTCCCAACAGCTTTTTGCACATCTGCTTTTTCTAAGAGATTTTAAACTGTGAGCTTTTTATCTTTTAGCATTTGTATATGGGACTGGTGTGCCTAAAAAGTGAAATACAGGCAGTCTAATTTGCCGGAAGCTGTGAGGAGGGGAATATCTATAATTCAGAGGTTTGCTTTGAATACACTGTAGTTGACGGTTTTGTGGCAATTAGAGAAAAGTCACTTGTCAACCTATCATTTGCCTTGTCATATTTAAATTTATTTCTTTAAATTCTTTATCGTTCACATTGTTTCGTGTGATTGTAATTATGACCTAGATACAAACTTTTTAAAAAAGATTTATTTTACTTATTATCTACATAATGTTCTGTATCCCTGCATGCCAGAAGGCGGCAGCAGATCTCATCACAGGTGGTTGTAGCCACCATGTGGGTGCTGGAAATGGAACACAGAACCTCTGGAAGAGCAGTCAGTGCTCATAATCATCGAGCCAACTCTCCAGCCCCAAGAAGCAATTTTTATTACATGCTTTATGCATGATACTTTTTTGTTTTAAAAGATATTTTCAAATGTATTCATATTTTATGTATGCCGCATGTATGTATGTTCACCACAGGTATACCTATTGCCAGTGGAGGCTAGAGAGTATCAGAACACCTGTAACCAGAACCACAGGTGGTGGTAAGCTGCCATGTGGGTGCTGGGAACCAATAGCAAGTGCTCTCAACCATAGAACGATCATTGCGGCCCCGATACTGTTTCTTCCACATGTATATGGACATGTATGTGCATGGTAGTCTTTCTATGTATTATGCAGATCTCCTTGAATAAGAAAGTGTCTGGGGGCTGGAAGGGCACCAATCGCTCTCAACTGCTGAGTCATTTCTTCAGCGAGCACTGTTATTTTGTAACAAATTGGTAATAATTGTTTCCAAGATTATGTATTGTTCAGTCTCCTTTCTCCATCATCTACTGATCCCTGTAAATTCAAATTCAGAGCCACTGCCAGCTGCACAGGTGAAGATGTCTGCACGGTGAAGATGGGCCTGAGCCGACAAAGGGAAACGTGGGCAACAGAAATCACGGAAGGGGCACAGACACCTCTTCCTTCAAGTCCCGAGTGCAGGGCCTGCCTGCGCTAACTCTGCTTGTGTTTTTCTTTGCAAACTGTCATCTCTCTGACCTGTTAACACCAGTTGGCTAAAAATATTGTAAATAATTTTTGCAAATTTTCATGTATGACAGTTATATTTTCCTTATTCAGATGACCCATGTTATATGTTTCCTTTGGTGGTAGAAACTTGAATTCTTTATATAAAAGTGTGGTTTTCCTTCCTTACCAAAAATGTCCTTTTTGTCAGTTTTGGAAAACTGTGTGACAGTCAACAGTTGCTCTCTGTTGACTGATGGCAACGGGTGGCCTAACCCTGAACTCGGGTCTGGTTATTTAAACTTCAGGCTTGCGCTGAAGGTCTGCTCTTCCCTGAGGTGGCGAGGGACCAGCAGATCCCTCCATTCAGGCCTGTCCTGAGTTGTGGCTGATGACATTTGGAAACATTTTCTCTTTTAGAGGCTAACATGGTTGATACTCTCTCTTTATAAGAAATATATTTTCTATAGCATTTCACTTTATATTGGTCAGAGTTTTACTTCTTCTGTCACGGTTTAACGTTCTGCTCTCTGGATCCTTCTGTCAGAAAAGAGCAAAGGTGATTGTCACGCCTGAGGATTGAAACATGGGATTCAAAACAGAAGAGGTTTCAAAACACACAGAGTGACGTGTCCCAGCTTCCATGCTACTTAACGTCTTTTGCTTCTGTGTGTATATGTTCACATGTGTTTTGTTTTATTTTCGTTTCTTTGAGACAGGGGTCTCACAGTGTAGCCCTGGTTGTCCTGTAACTCATTATGAAGAACACCAGGTTGACCTCCAACTCAGAGATCCGCCTGCCTCTACCTCCTCAGTGCTGGGAATAAAGGCCTGTGCCACCATGCCTGGCTGTGCATGGATTGTTGCTTTGTTTTGCAAGACAGGGTTTCTCTGTGTAGTCCTGGCTGTCCTGGAACTTGCTCTGTAGACCAGGCTGGTCTCCAAGCAACAGAGATCCACCAGCCTCTGCCCTCAGAATGCTTGGGATTGTGTGCCACCACTGGATTTTTTAAAAAAGGTTTTAAATTATGTTTATGTAAGAGTCTGTGTGATGGTATGTGCGCCTGAGTGCAGGTGCTCACAGTGGCCTGGAATTCATGGTCCTTCAGACTATCTCATAAGCTCTAGGAGTAGAGGTGTGAGCCAACAACCACATCTAGCATTGTCTATAGTTGTTTGATACGATTTCAAAAATGTTCAAATGCTTCAAAATTATTAAATGATGTGGTATACCTCCCTGTTGTCCAGTGGGAGAAGTCAGCGTAGCCGTGGAGGACTTTGGAGGTGTGTGATTCTGAGTTTTGTGCATCATGACTCCCTGTTGCTTCAGGGTACTGTCGAAGCCCCATGGGTGGTATTAAGCTTCACACATCTCCTAAGCATAATGTAGGTTCCCTGAATGACTATAAGGGTGTGATCAGTGCTGCTTTGGAACCTGTGCCTTGGATTCTGTTTTGGTACCCAACTCAGGTCCTGAAAAATAGGGCACCCTGTAAAGAAGACTTTTCTGTCCCATCAGCAAGTTCCGAAATAACCACACAGAGATTTATTAATTATAAATGCTCAACCAGTAGCTCAGGCTTGTTACTAGCTAACTCATATTTTAAATTAACCCATATTTCTTATCTACGCTCTGCCACATGGCTCAGATCCTTTTCTAAGTATGGTATGCTCATCTCCTGCTTCCTCTCCATCTCTTGCCTCCTCCTCACACTCCGCCCTTTTTTCCCATCGTTCTCTCTGCCCTGAAAATCCTGCCTAGCTATCAGCCAATCAGCTTCTTATTAACAATGAGAGCAACACATCTTCACAGAAGTATTATTCCACAGCAGTAACCCAAGCTCTTCTCTCTAATGTCCCGAGGATTACAGTAAATTTCCTAACTACACTGAAAATCGAAGCTTTATTTTATACTGCTAATTTTATTGTGTATCATGTTCTTGTTCTAATTTTTTTCAGTTGATGCATTCCATTACATTAGTGTGTACACATTCAGTATCGTGTTATAAATTACCTTTCTTTTTTTGTCTCTGCAGTACTGAGTTGAAGCTGTTGGAAGAGGCAACTGTTTCAGTTTGCAAGTCCTTGGGTAAGGAAGGAGGGGAGAGGAAGACAGGCAGGTTTTCACAATTTCTGTTAAAAATTATGGTAGCATCATATGAGTTGACCTAATGAAGCGACAGTCTTGATTGTGATGTGACAGTAGTAGTTACTTGTCCTCAAGGACTCATTGGTGCTTGCACCGTTTGTGCCATGCACCTTGTCTATGTTTGTAGTGGTAGTAGGGGACCCTGCTGGGATCTCAGGCATGTGGCCCACACCTGGCTTCCCTCCGACAGTCTTTTTAGAGTATGTATTTGCACACCTGCATTCACTTTATTAATTTATTTTTTACATTGCAATCCCAGTCCCCCTCCCTCCTCCCCTCCCACTCCCTCCCCTCCACATTTCCCCACCCCACCTCCTATCTGCTCCTCAGAGAGGGTAAAGCCTCCCCCTGGGAAGTCTACTAAGTCTGTCCCATCATCTCGTTGAGGCAGGACCAAGGCTGCATTTAATTTTTCAAAAGTATATTCTGAAGAACTCCATCTTTGATGGAGCTCTTTAACAAGTCAGGAAAGCTCACATAGATACACATAGATACATAATTCCCGGATCTGCATGGAAACAAACCCTGGCAGCTCAGGCCAGTGTGCTTCCGTGCTTGCATTTCTGGTTCAACGACATCCGTCACTCTCGAGTTTATTTATTGAAAATCACTGGTCAAGAAAATGACTGTATACTTGTCACTGCCATGGTTTTTACTTTGCAGCCAGGTTTTAAACCTTGGGAGCTTTCTTCAGCAGTAAACGTAAACTTTGGACTAAGCAGGCTCCTGTGTAACTCCTAAGTGGTGTGCGTCAGGACTTGCCTTGCTGCCCAACAGTGGCTTCATAAGCTCACTCCTCAGTACAGCTGATGATTTGAGCAGTGGAGGAGGCGTCCTTGAGCAAGTACCGTCCCTTAGATAGGAGTATGTAAAACTGGACTGGAGCCATGGTTCGGTGGTTAAGAGCACTGGCTGCTCTTCCAGAGGACCCGAGTTCAGTTCCCAGCACCCACATGGCAGCTCACAACGGTCTGTAACTCCAGGTACAGGGGATCTAATGCCCTCTTCTGGCCTTCTCGGGTACACACATGATGTATAGATAGATGTGCAGGCCAACCAACCATACATACACAAAGTAAAGTAATACTTTTAAATTTAAAAAGAATGAAAACTTAGAGTCATATTGGCTCTTCCCTCACTTGAGCTTGCACTTCCTTCTACTGTTTTCTTCGTAAGTAAAATTTGATATTTGATATTAATATATTTGATACTAAGGCTACGTCTTAGTCACTGTTCTGTTGCTGTGATGCAACACCATAACCAAAAGCAAGGTGGGGAGGAAAGGGTTTGTCTCAGATAAACTTCACTGTTCAGCACTGAAGGAGCCAGGGCAGGAACTCACACAGCACAGGAACCTGGAGGCCGGAGCTGATGCTGAGGCCATGGAGGGCACTGCTTGCTGCCTTGCTCCCTGTGGCTTGCTCAGCCTGCTTTCTTCTAGAATTCAGGACCACCTGTCCAGGGATGGCCCCATCCACGATGGACTGGGACACTCCTCCACTCCCCATTGATCAATACTTAGGGAAATGCTCTACAGGCTTGTCTACAGCCTGATCTTATGGAGGCAGTTTCTCAATTAAGGCTTCCCCTCCTCTGATGACACGGTCTGTGTCAAGCTGACGTAAAACACCAGTGTGGACTGAGTAGCATTTTCTCTCACTGTTTATTTTCTGAATTAGATGTGAAATTGTCAGTAAGAGTGGTTAGCAGTTTCAACTTGAGATTCTATAAATGGGATGATATGCTCAGTGTTAACTCTTTAAATGCTCTTCTTGTCTCTTGCAGTTGAAAACAACCCTCGAACGGGAAATCTTGGCGCCTTAACTAAGGTCTTCCTTTCCAGAACCAGAGAGCTCAGGCTTTCGGCCGAGTGCCAGAAGTAAGCTGACCTTTTTAAACCAGCACTGCGCACTTAGCGCTCGCTCTGAGTAGGGGTCATTTTTATTAGGTGGGGAAAGTAGGCTATGATCGTTTGAAAACACCTACAAAGGAATTATACTCTGTATTAAGAGGTAAAAAGTAAAAGTATTTGTTTTAGTGTCTTAAGTTGTTGGTGTGAGATTCAGAAATTTGATTTCAGCATTTTGGTTAATTATTAAAATTAGATTTTTAAAAAAGTTTAGTAATGTAATTATTCTTTGAATTCAGTTTTAAAAATTAATTAATTTTAACTGATTTTGGTAGTTAGCATATAAAGTGTTACAGTTAGCATGTAAAGCTGGCATAAAGGCTTTTATGGTGACATTTTCATACATGGGTGTCATTTGCTTTCTCATAGTCTTCCTGCCATTGTCCTCCTTTGTTGTCTTATGACCTTTATCGTCATTTCTCAGTGCCACTATTAATCTAGTTTAAATGAGGGTTTAGACAGATGTTGTCTCATCCCATATCTATTGCTTTTCTGTCCTGAGTATTGGATTAGCGTAGTCTGCTTGTTTATGCCTGGGGCATTAACTTTGTTAATTTGAGACAAGGTCTCACTCTGTAGCCCAGGCTGGACCTTGACTTCATGGCATGCTGGTGCTTTAAGTCTCTAAGTGCTGGGATAACAGCTATGAGCCACCATGTGGACTCTTAAAATTGTTTTGGCATTGATTATCGATTGCCCTGCTCATGAACAAATATATCAAATCCAGTTAAAATTTTCCTGTTACTAATGCAAATAACAGCACTGTATTGTGTTGCCACCGAAGGCTTCTTCTGGTTACATTGTGTACTTGTGAATATTCTCTTTATTCTACCATGGTTTTAGCTCTTTTGTTTCAGTTGCTTTCCTGTGACGCAGTTATAATGTTAAGGACAAAGCAGTCATACTACAGGCATGGGTAACCATTTTAATTAAGTAAAGTAGATTTCACTATGTACAATAGCTGTCATTGACTCATAACTATAAACCTTTGAAAGATGTAGGCATTGTCTTAACATTGTAAGTAGGCTGTGCAAAACCATTCACAAACTATGAAGACATCATGCACTAGAAACAGACTGACCTTGCTTATGATTAAATACTGAACTGCAGGCGATTCTGGTCTCTCCTTTCTAGCCACATCTTCATTTGGCAGACGCATAATGCTTTGTTTATTATTTGCTGCTTGCTGAAAGTGTTCATCTGTGAGATGTCTGAGGAGGAGCTACAGCTTCATTTTATGTATGAAGAAAAGTCTCCTGGCAGTTACAGTAAGTAACGGGTACCCTGCAGATTTTAAGATTAAAAGTAAATCTGGGGCCAGCAAGATGGTTTAGTGGGTAAAGGCACTGTCTCCTGACAATTCAAGCTGGACAACTTGAGTTCAGTAAAGGTGGAAGGGAAGAGCCTCTCATAGCAAGCGGTCTTGTGGCTTCTCCGTGTGCACCGTGGCACACGTGCCCACACATGCATGCCATAGACACCCAGCATTTAAAAAGTATCAACTTAGAAAGTTCTGGTTCTCCTGTAATGACCCCCGTTTTTCTTTTTGTGAAAAAGCCAGGTGAGTAGGCTCCCTCTCATCTGGCTTTCGTGTTAGGTTCTTGTCTTGTGTAACAGACTCCTGATAGAAGAGGGCAGGGAAGGTTTCCTTTGCCTGGAGCTGGAGGGGACATCGAGTCACGGTGGGGAAGCCCTCCCGAAGGCCAGTTCCGACCAGTTCCGAGAGCCCACGGCCCTGTGATTGAACTCAGCACAGCCGGCTCCCACTCACTGTGGCTTTTCTGTGTTGGTTCCTTCGGTATCTTCTTGCTGTCACCAAGAATCTGACCCAGCAGTGTAAGGAAGGGCGGGCTGATCTGGCGACAGTTTGAGAGTACCACCCAGTGCAGGAGGTCACGGTGGACATACTCAGCGGGGCTAGCCATGGGTAGTGCTGCCTGCATTTAGGGACAGACCTAGCTTCCTTCCTCCCTCCCCGTTAACACAGTCCCGAATCTCACAAGCGTGCTATATTCCTTTATTTCTTTAATATGCACTGAGATGTGAGCAGGGCTTTTATTCAGGGTTTCGTACTTTAGTGTTTTGATGCTAATCTTTATGTTTTGGTGTCTATAATACTGACAACATAGTTCTACTGGGTAAGAAAGAGATTTACCCCCTCCCCATGGGGGCTGGAGATGTGGCTCAGTGGTTAAGAGTAGTTACTGCTCTTGCAGAGAATTGTACCAGGCCTTTTCTTTTGGGCCACCAACCAGCTTCCAAATCATGACACAGAGACTTAATATTAGTTTTGAATGCTTGGCCTCAGCTTTTGCTTGTCCCACTAGCTCTTACCTTTCTCTTGATCTGTGTTTCACCTCAGGGCTTCTTACCTTTCTTTCCTTCTGCGCATCTTCTTTTCACTGCTTCTGGTGGTTGCCTGGCTGGCATGCGGCTGCTGGGCTTCTGGCCCAGGCGTGTCCCTCTCTCTCCCTCGTCCTCTCCTCCTCCTTCTTCTCTCTGCCTGCCAGCCCCGCCTCTCCCCTCCTGCCTATTGGCCATTCAGTTCGTTAGATCAGTCAGGTGCTGTAGGCAGGCCAGGTGAAACAAACACAGCTCTACGTCACTGAATAAAGGTCGCACAAGCAAATGTGACACACCTTCACATAGTTAAAGTAATATTCTGCAGCAGAGGACCTAATTAGGCTCAGTTCCTAATGCCTCCATCAGGTGACTCACAACTGCCTTGTAACTGGTGCCCCAGGGAACCCAGAGCTGCCTTCTGGCCTCCACGGGCACCTTCACCTTTGTGTATAAACACAGACACGTGTGCATGATTAAAAATGTCCCTCTTACAAAATACTGTCCCGCGGAGTTGTAACTTCTGGGCGGAACGAGCGCTCGCCCTCTTAGGGCCCAGGGTCGCAACCAAACTAAGTGTAAACCCAGCCCTAAGCTGTGCCTATTAGCGGTGCCATCTTATCTGTTAATACTGGAGAGTGGACAGACACTCTTGAGAGATACAGTTTATTAATTTTCCAGCTAAATGTTGCCATTGGATACCCCTGCATTGACCACTCTTAGTACATCTGGGGTCTTTAATCTAGAGACAGTATAAAAATAACATTTTTCCAGTTATATTATCAGCACTGACAAGATGGTCGTCACACCAAAAGACGGCACAAGCGGTCTGACAATTGGTGAAGTTGATGTGCTCATAGATGATAAACTCCCCTCCACATAGACATATTTGAGAGAGGTCTTGCCATTGCCGTGCACCCTAATCTAGCCCTTTCCCCCTGCCACAACCTCTGCAGTACTGGAATTACACAGGTCTATATTTGTACCTTCTTTCTTACGGAGTTAGATGGTGGCGATGATGATGTCTCTGTTTGAGGCCCTGGCTGTCCTGGAACTCACTTTGTAGACCATGCTGGCCTTGAACTCACAGAGATCCTTCGGAGTGCTGGAATCAAAGGCTTGCACCACTGTTGCAGCCATTTAGAAGTTTGTGCGTTGCTTTCCACCTTGCTGTTGCACCACCAGCATACTTTTAGTGAATTGTCTTGTGAGGGTTGAACACTTGCTGTTTGGGGCTTGTGTATATGTTTGTATTAGTCTATTTCTATGTGTCTTTGGTTTTAGGTTTCTACTTCTGATTACTAACTTAGCCCTTTTACGATTCTTTACCAACTATTTGCAGTTTATAATTTTGCATCAACACTAAGTATTAGTGTTGTATTAGTAAGTGGGGAACAGAAGGCCTCTCATCGTTCTGTAGCTGATAACATCCCTGTATCAGCTGCGATCCGAGCGTCTGTGTATGAAGGCCTGCCTGGGAGCAGATAGGAAGCAACTGCACAAATCTGACAGTTGTTTGTATACATAGAGGACCAGCGGAATCAGCTGAGGCATCTTAGCTTATTCCAGCATGAACCGTGAGTTAGTCCAGTGTGTTGTTTGCAGCCGTTGTAATGTCCGTGTTGCAGCAAAGCAGCCTTTATGAGAGCTGCATCGCTGTTGGTAGCTCTCAGATTCGAATATTTTTTGAGGACTTTGTATTTGAGTGTTTCCCCATGGGCTGTGTCTAATGTGGCAGCAGACTGTTAAAGCAAATTTATACCATTATATAAGACCAGCTTCATCATTCTTGCCTTTCAGAATTAATGGAAGGGAACAAAGCCAGCCCTAGGCAGCATCATGAAGCATTGCAAAATTATTCCCATTTTTCTTTTGCCTTCAGCCTGAGCTTTTCTTCCCTTTCTTTTGGTATTATGCTTCATTCTTACCAAGTTAATTCTAGTATTTGTCTAGTACTTTATGTCCCATATATCAAGTACTTTGAGTCTTTAGAAGTCTTAAGGCTGTTGCTTGTATCTGTAAGCTCTGGGATGCGTGCTTCAGTATGCCTCTGCCAGTGCTGAGTGTATTCATCCTCTGGGAATATGCACATGCTTCAGGGAGGTCCAGGGCCCGTATACTCTAACACGTTGGCTTCTGGCAGGGTTCTTGGCCTCGAGTGGCGCCTTGGGCTCAGGTTCCTTCCTTCCCCCGCCAGCCTCATAGTCCCCCGTAGCGGCTGCCCTGCTACTGTCCTTCAGAGCTGGGCTGTCTTGGGGTTTGCTTGCTACACAGGATTTGCTCTGACTGAATTCAAGTCAGCTTTTTGCTTGTGGTTGTTCTGTCTGATTACCTTGGGGTCCTAGAGACTTCCTGTACTTCTAGAAGTACATAGAAACCATGATTTTAGGCCACAGTTGTATGCAAAAGACTCAGTCGCTTTACTGCCGCGGTAGGCAGCATTTTCCTTACAAGTGTGTGGGCTTGTTTGCTTGTTTGCTTGTTTGCTTGTTTGCCCTGGACTGTTTGGAAAGTGGTCAGAGACTGAGGATCTCCTCCAGCCTCAGCCCCGAGCCCACCCCCTCCCAGTTTCATATTGTGGGTTTATTTTCTGCGCCACACATCTGGCATGGCCTCCCTAAGAGCCTCCTGGGAGCCCGCTAAGGGCAGAGGCTGAAAGGCCTCTGTCTTGGCTGATGGAATGCTGGCGTTGGGATTTTACTGCCAGCAGGTGATTAGTGGATGTTGTCATGAACCAAATGAACCAAAACAGAAAGGAATTACGTTTGCTGTCCTCCATGAAGCGTCTGGGAGCCCTCCAGAGGGAGACTGCCCACCCGCCCTGGGCAGTCTCTACTGGGCACAGCAAGTTTGCCGTCAGCCTTGGCTCCCTGGCAGCCAAGTGGAGCCCAAATGGTGGAGAGGGTGGAAGAGAGCAGGGTAAACAAAGGGAACAGAATGGGAAACAGGAAGTTCTGTAAAACAGACTCCCGAATGAATCCCCACTGTCCCCTCTGACCCACCACTCCCTTCGCATTCTTGCCCTGAAGTGCTTTGAACTCTTAGGCTGTGGCCTTGAAGAAGCCCACGGGGCTCTGACTGCTAAGCTCCTTGGAAGCAAACCTTTTTCTTGTGGCACTAACCTTGCTTTTGCCTTGAGCTGGAGAGCTCTGTCTGCCCTGGCAGGAGGGTTTCATGTCATTCTTCTCTGCTTGATCTAGTCCCCTAAGACAGGCCCAGGGAGGCCTGCCATCGTACAGTGAGGACTGTCGTTTTAAGAAATTTTAATATAAGATTTGAGGTGTAAGTTCATTACTTAAATGTAAACGACATAAAAGTGAATAAATAAGCAAACAAATCCAAGAACGGAAACGTGTGACTCTGAAGGTCCGAACACCAGGGCAGCCTGTTCACCATACAAGGCACTGCCTCAGGAACCCCGAAAACTCACAAACGTAAACTGGCCTTTGCGGAAAAGTCAAGAAGTGCCCCTGGAGCTCCTGAGCTGCCTGGTCTTTGTGGTAACGGATGCGGTCCTGGGAACCCTTTTGTAATCACGGGAACAAAGTCATTTAAGTTTTACTGTGAGCTCAGCTGGGACCTACCATACCCTGCCTGCCTGCACACAGTATTGCAGACAGCCGGAAGCACTGGAGTGGCGTAGAGCACAGCTCACAGATTCTGCACGCGGCCATATACACGTCCATCTTACTTTTAGAAAGGAATGAGTTCATTTGTCTTTCTTTTTGCAATTAGTTTAGAATAGCATTTAGAGTTCTAATTAGAAAGTATTTAATACTTTAGAGTAGCTCCAACGAAGTTAGGCAACAGCACAGACTCCACCAAGGTTTTCTGGACATGGGTGTGTGATCATCTAGTTGTGTGTTGTTCTTGTGTTGAGTTGGGTTCTTGCCATTGGTACTTACTTTGTAGTCCAGTCTGGCCTTGAACTCAGGCTTTCAAGTGCTGGGCTTACAGCTGTTCACCACCATGCCCCGCTTGTGTATTCTGTATTGGAGAAATCAGTTTGTTCTGGCTTTCAGGCACCGTCAACTGTTTTTGAAGTACGCCTCTGTTCTTGATTAAGGTATTAGCATTTGTCTTTGGCGTGCCGTACTTTGGGCAGCATTGAGAAATTGGCACCGACCCTCTGAATGCCGAGAGAACAACAGTAATGAGTTCTCTCTTCTACCATTCCTTTTAATCTTGTTTTTGAAGATTTATTTTTAGTTCATGTATGTGAGTGTTCTGTCTGCTGTGTACATACATGCATACATATGTACATACGTGTGTGTGTGTGTGTGTGTGTGTGTGTGTGCGCGTGTATGCATACTTGGCGCCTGCAGAGGTCACAGAGGATGATGGATCCCCTGGAACTGTAATTAGATGGCTGTGAATGTCCTTGTGGATGCTGGAAGCTGAACCTAGGTCCTCTGTAAGAGCAGCCTGAGCTGCTGACTACTAAGCGTCTCTCCATCTCTTCCGCCATCCCTTTTGATGGAGGTCCATGTGTGTTTTCTTTGTTTTCATTATCACTTTGCTTCCAATGGTCAGTGAGGATTTCCATTTTTGACACATAATGATTAACTCAAAGTAATAAAAATGGCCTAAGCCAAGAAAGCGAAAGGAAGGAGCTCAGTTAGCTACCTCTACTAGCATCCTGGAGTTAGGGCAGAAATTGGAGGATAAACGCTACACCAGAGGGCTTAGAGGATGTGAAAGGGGGAGTCTGAATGTGGTAAACTTGCTTAACTGACCCGAGCTGATGAAATAACGAACAAAAACACGACAGGAAGAGCTTTTGAGTCATGAGGCAGTGGCAGGTAGCTGGGTATGGTGGTGTGCACCTGTAATGCCAGGCTGAGGTGGGTGTAGCTCCAGTTGAAGGGTATCCCATGCTATATGGTGAGACCCTGACTCAACCACTAAAACAGCTGTATCAGAGAGGTGGACTGCGTGGCCAGGGGGACTCAGGTCAGTCGGTTACAAAAGGGTTAGTAAGTGTGTTTTAGCACTGGGTCCCTCATGCAGTCAGAAATGAAAACAAGAAAGAGCAGTTGTGGCTGGAGAGATGACTCATTGGGAGGAGCACTGGCTGCTCTTCCAGAGGACCTATGTTTGAATCCCAACACCCACATGCCAGTTTACAGCCATACCCCAGTTTCAGGGGATCCAGCTCCCTCTCCTGGGCTCTTCATATGAACTAGACACACATATGCAGGCAAAATGCCCGTGCACATAAAGTAAGAAAGAGAGAAACAAGGGAATGTTAGAAATATTGCGTTCGCTTTTGAGCATGCTGAGTTTGAGGTACTGGCCACTCATCTCAGTGGACACACGCAGTAGACGATTGGCTGGGGTCTGTGGCTGTGTCTCTCTGACTGTTTCAGGTCTTGTCTGACTCGGGAGCTGATCAGAGTCCAGCCTGGCGAGTGCTTGGATGAGAGACAGGTTGATAGAAACCAGGGTGGTCAGTGAGAGGCTGAAAGGCAAGCTATGGGTTTAGGACTCACCAGCATGTAAATGGTGATGGGTGAGCGAGCCGTAAAGGGTGAGAAGACAGTGCGGGGGGGGGGGGGGGGGGAGGGACTCGTGGGGCGCTCTGGAGGAGTGCTGGGAGAAAGTAGCAAAGAAGCCGGTCAGAACTAAGACCACAGGAACCGAGGAAGTCATTTCCTGAAGGGAGTAGATGTCACGAGTGCCCCAAACCAGAAGGCACGAGGGTATCATCTGGCCTGAGCAGTTTGGAGGTCCCTTAGCTATGGGAGTTTGGGACAGAGTGCTGGTGTTTCCATGACAGTTTGCATCCTGTCCTTGACATGTAACTGACCCTCTGACTCGTTCTGTCATCTGGCTCACCATAGGTTCAGAAGAGGTGCCTTGAGGGTTAGCTAGGTCAAAGGCAAGGTCATAAGAATATGGGGTGCGGGGGGGGGTGGGGTGGGCGGGTACAGGTCTAAATATCTTTGCTTCAAGTCAACCAGCTGAGGCATCTTTTTAGAAAAGTATTTTATATGTTTGACTTTAATATAAAAGTCCATCAAAAGAAACATTTGAAGTGTAAAAAAAAAATTGAAAATTAGGCCAGGCGATGTTGGTGTACACCTTTAATCCCAGCACTCAGGAGGCACAAGCAGGCGGATCTCTTGTGAGTTCAAGGCCAGCCTCACAGCCTCATCTACAAATCTACACAGGGAAACCCTGTCTTGAAAAAAAAAAAGGAAAGAAAGGAAAAATAAAAAAAAAAAAAAAAAAAAAGAAAAGAAAGAAAATTATCAGTGCATACTTGTAATCTCAGAATTTTGGGGAGGCTGAGGCAGGAGGCTTGCCAGTTAAGGACTACATAGTGAGACCTGACCTCAAAGGGAAAGCAAAGATAGGATCAATTGGGCAAGTAAAACTGCTTGGCATCACCATGTGTGCCAGGCGACCCTGAAACTTACATAAAGGCCGAGAAGGAGAAAAGCGAGGCCCGGAAATCGTCCTCTGACTTTCACACGTGTGCGGTGGCATGCCCACACAGTAATAATGCAAGGGAAACCCTTATGCTGTGTTATTAAGGTTGTATTAGGTGCTGACTTGTTCACGATCTGGATTCAGAGGTCAGAATACTGTTTGAGTGTATGTAATGTAAGCTTTTTACTTAATGGAAATGCAAACTTTCCATCTAAGCAATTTTATCTGTTGTCTACCCTGTCAAAACAAAGTTGCATGTGTCTTCCTAGGTTCTCACTCTGAAGATCTTCTGGAAGAATTGCTCTGCAGCCTGGTGCAGTTAATCACTGACACTCCACTCTTGTAAGTTCCGCCTGAGCCAGGCTTTATCTTCATTGTATAATGAAATGACAATTGATTGTGCGGAAGAGGTGTCCATGTGCATGTGCGTGCGTGTGTGTGTTTGTATGTGTGTTTGTGTGCATGTGTTTGTATGTGTGTTTGTGTGCATGTGTTTGTGTGTGTATGTGTGTGTGCGTGCCTGTGTGCGTGTGTGTGTGTGTATGTGTGTTTGTGTGTGTGTGCATGCGTGCGTGTGTGTGTGTTTGTGTGCATGTGTTTGTGTGTGCGTGCATGTGTATGTGTGCGTGTGTGTGCGTGTGTGTGTTTGTGTGCGTGTGTTTGTGTGTGCGTGCATGTGTGTGTATGTGTGCGTGTGTGTGCGTGTGTGTGTGTGTGTATGTGTGTGTAGTGTGCAGAGGCCAATGCTGGGTGACTTCCCCTCCCCTTCTTTTCCTTTTTCTTGAGACAGGGCCTCACTGTGTAACTCTGGTTAGCTTAGAACTCGCTCTGTAGACCAGGCTGGCCTTGAATTCATAGAAATCCACCTGCCTCTGCCTCCCGAGTGCTGGGATTAGAGGTGTGCACCACTATGCCTAGCTCCCTTATTTTCTGAGACAGAATCTTTTAAGGAACCAGACTTCTTAGTCTTGGCTGTCCTGGCTGGCCAGCAAGCCCGAGGGATCTGTACCGGCTCTGGGGTTGCAGGTGTGTGGCACCTCACTAGGCTCTGGTGTGGGCGCTGAGGACCCCAATCCGGGATCTACTGTTTTCCCAAGCCCTATGTTGAAGAGCTTGTGAGTTTTGTATAGCGTTTAAGGATCATCCACCTATGAACTCTTTTTATCTCTTTTCCCTGGTAATGTGTAGACTGTGTCCACCTGTCTTGCTTACCTTTCTGTTGCTGTGACAAAACACCATGAGCAAGGCAATGTACTGGGGAAAAAGCATTTAATTTTAGGGCAGGGTTCCAGAGGTTAGTAGAGTCCATGACCACCCTGGCAGGGAGCATGGCAGGCAGGCAGGCAGCAGGCAGGCAGACAGGCAGGCAGGCAGCAGGCAGGCAGGCAGGCAGGCAGGCAGCAGGCAGGCAGGCAGGCAGGCAGCAGACAGGTAAGCAGGCAGTAGGCAGGCAGGCAGGAGGCAGGAGGCAGGCATGGTGTTGGAGCAGGAGCTGAGAGCTCACATATTGAGACAACATGAGACAGAGAGACAGCTTTCTGGACTTTTGAAAACTCAAAGCTCATTCCCAGCTCACTCTCTTCCAACAAGGCCACACCTTCTAACCGTTCCCAAACAGTTCCAGCAACCCGGGACAAAGCACTCAGATATATATGGGGTTACGGGTGCATTCTTATTCAAACCGCCCATCAAACACTAGTTTTGTGTTAAGGGAGGATGACTAAGTCTTCAGTACTGTCCACGATGGCTGACTGGGAATTGCATTGACTCAGTCAGGAGAGATCCCGAGGGCCGATATGAATGAGCAGTTGGAGAGAAGCAAATTGAATCCAGTCTGTGGTAGGGGAACACACACCGCAGAGCAGAGTGTCCTCTTTCCCCTGACTTGTTGGGTCTGTGTTGGGTTTAGAGAGAGGACAGACCTCTTTCCGGTGTCCTTTGAAGCTAGGTGTGCTCCTTGAGATGCAGCTGGGGAGGCCCTCCAGGGAGACTCTTGGGTAAAGTTCTTCACGGGGAGCGTACTCAATGGAGAAGTGTGTGGTTTTCCCTCTGACAGCTTTTTCCTGCGCCCTGGAACGCAGACGAGGCCTTTGGAGCTGCATGCCCATCCTGGCACCATGGGCCAGTTGTCTCAGAGCAGTTTTGCTTTGATGTCACTGAGCTACTGAACCAAAGTCAACAACTGCCCTTCCCACTCCCTCACCCTGGGCTTCTCGTGACAAAAATAGACCCTTATTGGTTTATGCTGCCGTAACTGGGTTTTGATCACCGCAACTCAGTGCAGTTCCCATGTGTATGAAAATTCTATCTGTTCTGATCCATCGCTTCTCACCCCCTTCATAACTGATGCGCCTTCAGAACCCTTGTTAGGCGTTTCTTTCATCATTGCCTTTTGCGTGCGCTGACTACCTGTTTATATACTATGGTCCTTAGGAAACCTATGAGCCTTTGACACATCTGTGACGTTCGTCTGTCCCCGAAGAACCAATTTCATTATTTTTGAAAGTTTACAAAGTTGATTGACTTATATTTGAGACAAAATCCTTTTTGTTGTTTTGTTTGTTTGTTTGTTTTTTGAGACTTTCTCCATGTAGCCCTGTCTGTCCTGGAACTCACTCTGTAGACCAGGCCAGCCTCAGACACACAGAGATCCCCCAGCCTCTGCCTCCCAGTGCTGTGATTAAAGATGTGTGCAGCCACCACCACCCAGCTGAGACAAAGCGGTTATGTTGGCCTTGCTGGTGTGAAATCTCAGTCCTCTGACCTCATCTGTCTCAGTAGCTGGGATGAGAATGTGTCATTTATTACATTTTAAAATACTCGTATCCACTTATTTATTGTGTGTGTGCGTGCACATGCTCACGCATCCATGTGCATGGGCATGCATGTACCATAGTACATGCGTGGAAGTCAGGATAACTTTGGGAATAAGTTGTCTCCTTCTACCATGTGGTCCTGAGGATTGAACTCAGGTTATCAGGCTTAGTGGTAAGCACCATCACCTGATCTGTCTCTCTGGTCCCAGACAACATATTTTAAGGGGTTAGATAATATTTATTAGACAGGGACTTATGTATCTCAGGCTGCCCTTGAACTCACTGTATAGCTAAAGGAGACTTTGAAATTTATAAAAGGAAGATTTATTTTTATTTTATATGTATGAGTATTTTGCCTGCATGTGTGGTACTGGAGACTAAACCAGGCATGCCAATCATGCACCCTACCAGCTGACCTGTGTCTCCAGCCATGCAAAGGAATTAGTTTTAAACAAAGAAGTTCTTCAGGTTTATCATTGTGAAGTATCAAAACACGGAGAAACAGGTTATTTGCCTCTGCTTCGGAAAGAAAAGACAAGTATCTGCAAACAGATAGGCTCCTGGGGATATTGTACGTGAACCCATACTTTAGTTAGAGATGGAGAGAGGAGATGCACTGAGCCTTGCCGTGCTTTGTGTTCACTTCTGCAGCCTCGCAGGTAAGCTGAGACAAGTAGAGTTGCCTGCTGGAGAAGGACCTGGGGGTCTAGCTTCCCACCAGTGTGCACTGTGATGCACAGAGGCGTTCCCACCAGTGTGCGTTGTGATGCACAGAGGCGTTCACACCAGTGTGCACTGTGATGCGCAGAGGCGCTCACACCAGTGTGCACCGTGATGCACAGAGGCGTTCACACCAGTGTGCACTGTGATGCACAGAGGCGTTCCCACCAGTGTGCACTGTGATGCACAGAGGCATTCCCACCAGTGTGCACTGTGATGCGCAGAGGCGTTCCCACCAGTGTGCACTGTGATGCACAGAGGCGCTCACACCAGTGTGCACTGTGTTGCACAGAGGCGTTCACATGCCTACCGGTCCTCTTTGTTTGTTTTGAGCAGGATTTTCCTATCGCTCAGGATGGCAGTGTAGGCCCAGCTTGTAGTTCCCAGGTTCATCAGTAACTCCGTAGCCACATCACATGGTTTGGGCCCTTGCAGTGATACATGAGCAGGTGTTGTCATGTCTCAGAGCACCTGGATTTCAAGTCCTTTGTTTTGTATACTGCCCTCTTCCTACTTAGAACATGGAGATAGTGCTAAGAGTGTCACTTGCAAGGAACAAGGGCTATTAGTGATACTTAAAATTGCCGTGAGTGCTCAGTGTCTCTTATCTGTATTTCTTCTTACATGAGAAAAACAAATCCCTCTCTTGGTTAAGCCACTGTTATATATATTCAGAATGGGGTAGAGAACCCATATATTACCTGCTCTTTTCTCATCATGTTTTTTATGTTTCTGACTTACTTTCTAAAATTATACTTTAATCAGGTCTGGTGACATATGCCTATAACCCTAGCACGTGGGAGGCTGAGGCAAGAAGATGGTGAATTAATGGACATCCTCAGCTACGTAATGAGTTCCAGGCCAGCCTAGGCTACATAGTGAGACTCAGTCTGAAACAAACAAAAAATTGGGTTTTAATAACATTTGTTTTCAACAGTTGAATGTATACTCTTTCAGCCTTTATTGATGACGTTTTGTTGACGGTAGAGAGAGGGAAGTGGTAAATATGTTTAGATAATAAATAGGCTGTGAGTACAGTGAATGGAGCAGCTGTGTAGCAGAGCAAGCAGACAGTGTTGGAGTATATCAGACATTCAGTGTTTTAATGTGTTTATCCTTTTTAAATGGATTGAAAATGCACAGGCAGCCAGATGTCTTGTGTTGTGTGTGCTCAGCTCTAACCAGCTGCTGCAAGTTTCTTATGATTTAATGTCCTTGGAACTCCACCTTCCAAGAAAGTTTGTATTGGTTACAGTTGCCATGAGAAAGCAGCTACCCTGTAAGTGCTTCTTCTACCCCAACCGCATGGCAGCATCCGAGACTGAGACCAGCTCCTGACTTAAGGTGGATGTTAATATAAAAATGGGATGAGCTCTTCACTCCTGAGCATCTTCCATCTAGCTGTAATGCTTTGCAGTCTCTCTTGGCTTACCTGTGTTGAATTAGCAAGGGAATCATTAGAATTCTAATTTTAGTAGCCATGTAGAGTAATTTCAAAGTAGCTGAAATCTTTTTCCTGTGAGACTATTAAATCTTTCTGTTAAAATTGAAAGCAAAATGATTACCATAAATAGCATACTTACGTTTATTATGTGTGTGTACATGTGTGTCACATACTTATTTAGATACCTATAATTTGGCGCAATCAGTTAGGTTGCGGTACTTACCCTTCCCTACAGCTCTTGTATACCCTAAGGTAGCTCGAACTTACTGTGTAGCCAAGGATGACCTTAAGCTTCCAAATCTCTTGCTCTCAACACCTGAGTGGTTTGTGTAAACTAGTAAATGGTTCTTTATTAGAAACAG